GCCTTCATTACCAACTGGAGTAGCGTGGCAAAGTCTAACTTATCATGAGACATTTCTCTCAGTACTCCCTTCTGCTTCCCTTTGGGTAATCGACCGAGGAAGATCGTGCATCTCTCGACCTCCGGCAACTTCCCTTTTGCAATAAGGGCATCAGATACCTTCTATAATCGCTTCCCGAAAGCCCGAACACTCTCGTCCTCACCCTGAGTCAACTGCTCCAAGTCTTGGATTGAATACTTAACGTCCTCTACTTTGAAGAGCTCGTAGAGACTGGCCTTATAGGTAGCCCATCGTCTATCTTTCGGTCGGGCTTCTTTGATCTCCGGACCCAAGCTCGGGTCCACGTTAAATATGAAGTTATCTATGATTTCGTCCTCCGACCATTGACTGCGGAACGCGTGTAGCTCCCACTTCTCAAGATACTCAGTGATACCGTATCCCTTGAAAATGGGGGGCCTGGTATCTAACTCGGAAGGCTGGTGCAAGATGGTGAACTTGTCTCTCCTCTCATATGGTAGGGAGAACGACTCGCATGGGCAGTGCAACCCTTTCTCTGTCTCTCCAAAGTTGCTCTCTGATATACTGGTCCCTCCAGTCATCCCTTCCTCGGTCACCTCTATCATCTCTTCGTTCATATGGGGGGAACGTCGAACAGTCGACTCTCGCCGCCGAAAACTCGGAGGTTCAGTTCGGCTCTCTATCCGCACCACCATAGGGGCCTTGTTTGGCTCTGTGATGACCGGACAGGCCATTACCTCCAGCTCAGCGGTCTGTTGTTCCTCATCTGGATGTGGTCTCATCGTGTCAGACTCCATATACTTTACTCCACTCTCTGGCTTGAGCCTGTATCGGGGTCTACTGTCCTCACCCTGTGAACAGGCAGCTCGGACCTAATGTCAGAACCGGGAGCCCGGACTTAATGTCAGAACTTGGCAGCCCGGACCTAGTGTCAGAACCAGTCCTGTCGATCTCTAAATGTCAAAATCTAACTCTCGACTGCCCTCAATATCACTATCACTCTCCCAGTCTCATCACGGATCTCGTGTGTTCCTTCTACATCTAGTACCCCAGTGTCAAGAAAAAGTCATCCGCCTTGACCTTCTATGCAAGCAGCACCTCTCCTGACCTCTAACACCCCTGTCTCAGGGCACCTGACTCTCCTACAAATCGCACTCTCTATCGCACGCAACTTATCACGAGTACAATCTCGCAATCGCACTCGTAAATTGATAGTTGTCCTTCTCCTCATATCGCTCAACCCTTGGCGCACTGCACCAGCTCTTGCTAACGCATACTCACTGCCTCTTGCCATCAAACACCTGATGCCTTAAGGCGAGTTCAACCACAGTGCCGATGTTCCTCTTCTGCGCAATCTGACTTGGAGTTGGGGGCTTAGGAAGCCCTCCAAAAATCGTTATCTGCGTGCTCCAGTTAACGGTTTTCCCTAGCAATAGTAATCTATCTCTTTCGGTTTCTTCAATCTCTTCAGCGCGCTCCCAACATCGAGCGTACACAAGATCTACTCCTCTCTCCGAAGGTAGGTAAATCCTCACATCATATACGTCTAAATGGATAAACCTAGCAGTCATGACATATAGACGTATCTCCTCCCATCCGCTATCCACTAACTCGTATCTCTCTACCTCATACTGAATCGCTTGTCTCCTCCCTTTCGAACTCAAAAGTTCACAGATAGTCTCTAGTTTCTCCGTGGATGGTCTGTGTCCAGCAATAAACCTCTCTCTTCTCGATTGCAATTCGCAATCAGAGATAATTCTTCCTTCACTCATACCTTCATCCTATTCGTTCTTCATCGTCTTCATGGGCTTACCCCTCGTCCTGACTGCCCTGACGAAGTCTACTATCGGCTCTCATTCATTCTGCTCCAGTCCTCTATACGGGATCGGCGGCCTAGGCATGCCGTCAAAAATCGAAATATCGTCGCAGACCTCGACAGTTTTTTCCCAAGTCCTCTAATCTCTTTCTCTCTTCCCTCAGCTTCCACGCGGCTATCCTCCAACACCTCGTGTAGACACAGAACTCCTCGCGCTCTCTAGGTAAATATATACCTACGTGATATATTCCGAAGTCGGGAAAGTATACGCTCATTATATAAAACTGATTCCTATCCCGACCGTTGTTTGCCTCCTGATACTTCACCACCTCGTAGGAAAAAAATTTCCGTCGGCTAATAGTGCAAAAATCTTGAAGGACTTTCTCGTGCTCAAGTCTACTCGGTCCACTCCATGCTGAAAACTTATGTCTCCTTCGCACTAACTCTGCCTCCACTAGTGGCATCTCTCGTCTGTCTCCATGAACCCCCTAACATTCCATCGCGATTAACGCTAAAGCCAACGGGACTCTATCCGTAGAATCCTCTAAGAATTCGTAGAACGTCTCGAAGTCGTCTATATCCCCAAAATTTTCAATATCTTCTAAAGTCTTAAGGTACTCGCTCCAGTATCGGTTGTGCGCTTTGAACATTCTGGTAACAGAGCTTTCTACTATGATCTTTGCTAGATCTTCAACCACATCCGCCTCACTTTTTAGGAGTTTCTCAACCTCTCTAGGGGTCTCGCGCCACGCCCTACTCAAGGGCCGCTCATCGAAGGGAGACACGCACAGCAAGTAGTTAATCAGACACGCGCTTTCCTCTCCTACCCAGAGTCCGGTCACTCACGTTTTCTGCACAGCTTGTCGAGTACACTCCGCTGCTTTAATTATACTGAGTTTGTCCAGGTGGACCAATTGTATCACCACACAAGCGACTGGTCTATCCGACCTCCCTACAATGTGCATAGAATATTTTTCAAAGTTCATCGCCTCCTTTCATTGTCCGACGTCCCTTCAACATTTGTCTTTTCTTTCGACGTTACAGCCCGTCGACTCAAGTGAACCCTCCTGTTCCTCACTACTATGATCTCTCCTCTTGACGCTCTCAAAAAAATCTAGACGCCATCTTCCGAAGAATTCTCTATTCTTTCTGAAAAGTCTTTCTAATGCCCTCGTCGCTGCTTCTATCCTACGCAGCTCACTCCTATCCTTGTTAGGCCCACAATCTTGAATCTTGATGCCAAACTCCTTAACTTGTTTAACCACTGATTTTATAATTCGATTTTTGACTCTCTTTTTCCTCTCCTCTAGATCGTCCATCCTTTACGGTCCATCTCTTTCTAAACTCGAAATACCCATCACATATTACTCTGAGCTTCCAAGGGTATCTCGTCTCGGACCATCTCTAAGCGCATTTTTCCCTTCACGTAGATGATCACCTCATACACCACCAAAATATGCATTGTCAACTCTTTTAGTGCTCCTAACCTCTGTTCCCGTATGACGTCCTCTACAAGTTCTTTGAACTCACTGCCCGACAATTCCTCTTCTACGCTCACCCTCAGAAAAATATGTAGTGTCTCGTCGTCACAAGCTAAGTGCCTAGAAACAACTCAGGCATACGGAAGTCGTCGGAGAGAAGGCAGCCGGCTCGTCACACTCCCATGAGTACTCGGGGATTCCTATCATTTACACTCCTCCAGGAGTCGGACCCTCTGCGATCACCAGAGCGAGTACGAAGCTCGGGGTCTATATCGATATACTGGTAGCTCGCGCTCTTTCATGACAAGTTAACTTGACTCATATCCTACTCTTACCGTGTCGTCAAAGGACAATTCCGCGCGTAGGTAGTCGACCGACCATACCATCACTTCGTACGTTATCTTGGTCTGGAAAGTCACGCATGTGAGGACTCCTGGTCTGTACTCCCGAATGAATTCTCTGACTTGTAGAAAACACTCGCGCTCTGTCAGGTCCTCGTCTATGTGTGCTCTGAGTAAGACAGTCACCGTGAAACCTCCGTTCTCTAATTGTTTGCTTACATTGATCCCTGTAGCCGTCTGACCTGGCATGTCTCCTATTGTTGGTCCTCAGACAGATACCTTAAGTCCTCCTAGCCAAGGTACCTGTCCTTTACACGTCTACGACAATAGTAGATCAGATCAGCATGCCTCAGACAATCTATCCAGCAGGTAGCGTTGATCAGGTCTTTTAACGTCTCCTTGTTTGGGGGTCCCCACCTCACGCAGATCACGTAGTACACCTCTCTAAATTGAGGCGCTAGTCCTAACCAGAGCGTGTACGACGTGTGGTTTACTGCTCTAGTCAGGCAGTCTATACTCCCGTAAGTTTGTTCCACGACAAACGTAAGAAGAACCAACCTCCAACTCTCTACCGGATCGTAGACTGAGCGCGGAGGCCTAATTACTACTCGGACGGTGTAGGGCATGTCTCCTGCAAAAATCATCAGTCGCCGTCTCACTATCGACTCCGCTAAGACTTTGTACCTCCATCAACCTCTGCTAACACCGGCAAGCGTCATCCCTATCTTTATATCTCGTGTTTTGTCAAACACAAGATGCCCTATTCCCTCCAGTCGTCGGGGAATATCGAATCTTTTATCCTCTGTAATCACCGTCCACAAGAAAACTCCCTCAACCAACCAAGTACCAAAACGTCGAACCGGCACACTAGCTATCTCCTCGAAGCGTACCGGAAGAGGTACATCGTACCCCACACCCGTCTCTCTTGGCCCTATCAGTTTTCTCGCTCTATAGGAATTTGAATCACGTGTCAAAACGTATGCCAACCATACATCCACATCACTCCTCATCACGCTATCTGCCTCATCGAAGCAAGTGTTAATGTTCCTAGTCTCTCATCCGTGTCACCAACTCTATCATCTCATGCCATTTATATCTATATAAGTTTTTCCCTATGACAAGGGGACTCGGAATTCCCGTTAACACTCTGATCCCTGTATCCCAACTAACTACCCTGTATCCCAACTAACTACCTTTCCTTCATGTTGTAATCGTACCACCTCTTCTGCTACCAACCCATCAGCGGTCTTCCAAGCCTTCACACTCAACTCTCGTCTAGTACGGGTCGCAGGAATATAATTTTGCACGTCATACTCGTCCAGGCTAATGAAGTGATATGTGAGAACGTACACTCGCCAAGGATCTACGCCTCCTCCTTGGATATAATCGTATGCGACGAGCTCGTATGGGAGAACCTCTCTCCTTGTCTTCTTCGACATCATCGATTTCCTCTCTCGTAGGGCCTCATCCCTCGGTGAGTAGCTGATCCCAATAAACTCATCTAAAGGACATCACATGCCTTCCTATTTATAACCCCTACCATCTTCTCTAACTCTCTCCTTCCAGCTCGCGTACATTCATAGTCTTCGGTCAATAATCCCCGTCCGCGTCTACCATGTCCGCGTCTCCATCCCCATCTATCTCGTGTCCCCAAGGAATAGCCTCCTGTACCTCGGCCCGGAGGAGGCGTCCCCAACCGTCCTCCAGCTGCGTCTCTCCACCTACGCGGCCCTACTCCACTGTCTCTTGGTCGTCTATCGCCAAATCTCCCCGGCCCTGGTCCTGATCCCCCCAAGGCTCTATATCGTCGAAGGCCTCCCTATCATCGGCGTACCACCCAAGGTCCTCCCTCTCTGGGTATATCCGCTGATAGTGTTCCTCAACCTCCCAGATCGAAATAATCAGGGCAGGTCGGTCCTCGGGTGCCTCATTGAGGAGTCAGCATATGCCCTCCAGATAATTTGCAGGTCTCTGGTCTCTCTCTCTAGGGCTAACCAGAACTTTGGAGGTTAGTAGGGAAAGAAGGACTCGGGGTCTGCGGCAGGTGCCAGAGCTCGTATGAACTCTACAAGCTGGAGCCCTCTCTCCCCAACAAAAGGCCCCGCGATGAATTGGGTGTAACTAATCCGATCTATGTCCGCTAGCCCTCTCCTCAATCCATCCAACTCGAGGCTAGCATGATAAGTCTCAGAAATGCGGGCCAGCCCCCAGAGCTCCTCTGCAACAAACGCCGGGACCCTCACTCGCAGTCGCACACCGGGGAACGGAAAGGCCCCTCCGATCCGGAGGGTCGTCCTCACTACCCTAACTTGGCCATACAAGTCCTCGGCCTCCCCGCGAACGCTCTCAGCAGTCTCCGATAGGATGGTCCTCGCCCCTTGCTCGCCTCGCTAGTGATCATGGACTAACCCCTCATAATGGATCGTCGCCTCTACCGCGCGCAAGTAATAAATATGTCCTATGACCTCTATGCTTGTCGTGCCAGACACTCGCCACTGCTGGCTGTCCGACTTGAAGGTCTCAACCGCATAGGACCACAAGTGCACGTCGGGCTCCAACGACGTCGATCTCCACCAGCTCTGAAGCCCAGATCCACGTCCAACCACACTCCTGGCCGGTAGATCGAGCTCTAGTATGTTGGGCGCCACGGTCTAAGGAGGCCTAGGCCATCTAGCACTGTCGATCTGGAGCTCAACTTTGTCGACCTGCTCTATTATTGGGGCAAACCTCGCGCCTGACTATACTAACTACCGAGTCCACTCAATCACCACTCCCCACTCGTACTATCGTTGGGATAACTCTCTCATCAATAGCTCTCGGATCCAATCCTCCTCGCACTTGCCTTTACACACCGTCTCCTAGGCCCGGACGGCGACTCCTATCCTAGGAAAGCGTTGGTGACGTCAATCTCCTTCCCCGACTCGACATCCTCGCTCTCGGAGCCAATCCAGCTACGCTCCCAGGCCTCCTCCTCGTCCTCTCTAATCCACCCGTCCTCGTCCGCCTCGTCCTCTATGCGGTACGGAGGGAGCCCTATCGCACGATAATATCGTGACAGCTGGTAATCATATATCAGAGGCCGAGCGTCCTCACTCCACCAGCTGCCCCTGTCCTCCGAGAAAAGCCTGCCTATATACGTAAAGTATTCAGGTCCAGCTCGAAGCCCCGGATCCAATACGTCTCACACGTACGAGGGCGGCGACACTCCCCTCTCGCGGTCGTCCCCTAAGGAGCGGATCAACTCTATCAGCTGAACCCTCTCGTCTCCCCAGCGAAGGCCCGCGGTCGCGAGGGAGTAGTATACGTAGGAAGTGTCGAGGCTCCCTCTGACAAAAAGCTCAAGCTCTTTGAATGCGAGGTAAGCCTCAACTAAACCTAATATCCCTCTGAAGACTGTGTCCACCACGAAACTAGGAAGAATTACTCTCAAACTGCTCCCTGAATGCGGGAAGAAGACGTCTCGTGCTATCAAGAGATCACCCGTGATAGCAAGGGGAGGTCGCCCGTGAAACAAGGTCAACGGGTCCTGCTCTTCGTCTGCCCGAAAAGCGTTAACCTCGTCCTGCAAGTACCGGCTCTACTGATAATCGAACTGGTCCCCAAGGTTACGAGACTCAAGGCAGCCTCTTTGGCCGCCTCCTCCCCTAAGTACAGGTAGACCCTCACTAGTCCACCTATCAGACCTCCCCTCTCTCCCCTCAGGTGCTCTCTGTGCGTCCACAGCCAAGCATCCGAGAATAAGAAGACAGACCTCCACCGGGACTGCTCGTCATGCCAATCAGTGGGTCGTCCGGGTAGTGTAAACTCTACCAGGCCCCCCTCTATGAGCTCTAGGGGCTCTATCTCCCACGCACGATCGACCTCGTACACCTCAATGACCTCGGATTGCCAAATCCGATCTAGGTACTTATGCGTACAGAAGGGCTTAGAAGTGGGAACAGTTGAAACTAAAAAATCCTAGGAAAATTTCGACAGCGCTTCGCCTCCCCCCGTACGGATGGGGTTTGGGAGGCGATCCCTGAATAAACGCTACCTGCCTATGTCCTAGACGGGCCCAGGGGTAGCCTAGACGTCTGAAGCGCAGAATTTCGAACTCGAATTGGGCCAACAAGCCCTATAGTCGAGTTCCCTCGAATATAAGGCGCGTGCACAATTCGAGGGTGTCTTGCCTACTACTCCTCGGACGCCCTCCCGGCCAACAAACCCTACCTACTAGCTGCGGACAAGAGAAAACGAGTTTCACTTGCTCTTTTCTCGATTTCTAAGCCATTTTGTTAAAATTTTGAGATTTAATTAATTTAAATTAACAAAAATAGTTTCCTATCAAGAAACACTCACTGGCGCACGCTCAACGCTTAGGGATACGCAAGGTAAAACCTAGCGAGTGACACAGTAAGTGCGTACCTCTTTTTAGATTTCACTTTTTATTTGTTTCTAATTTATACCAAATAAATATATAGTAATAATTGTATTATAGTAGTATTATAGTAATAATTGTATTATAATACAATTATTAAGTATTGAAAATTTCTCTTTCTGGTCTCACACCCTCAGAGAGGGCCCAGTAGGTTCGCTCGAACGTTGGTTACCCCATCTTCTATTCTTCTTCCTTCTCTAGGGAATTTTATGGTATTTTCTTATTTTAATTTTTAAAAATATATATTTAATTAGGATACAGTCTCTTTTCTTATTTATGTGTATTAAGATCTAATATATCTATAAGTTTACTGAGTTTGAAAACTTTTAGGGTTTAGGAACTAATTTTTGGGAATTTATCCAAATTTCAGCAGCATTTCGCCTCCCCCCGTTGGGATGGGGTTCGGCCAAAACCCACAATAAACGCTGTCAGAAGGGAAAAACAAGAGGAATAATGAAAAAATGGTAAACCGATTTTTAGTGGACTTTTTTTTCTTCAATAAATTAACAAAAATTCAGATAAAATAGGAATTTTGAAAATTTTTGGCAGCAGTTCCTCTGCCCCCGTGGGGATGGGGTTCGGGATAATTGTCCCTTAATCCGTTGCCAAAAGGAATATACGGAGCAATTTTAAACAATTAAATAAATATTATTTTAAATATTTTCCACTAATTTTAATCAATAAAATAAATAAAAATACCGAACGGTACAAAATTTATGGTATTTGTGGGCACCTTCTATGTTCTGGTTTTACTATAATTTTAGAGGTTGCTCTCGCTTCCTAAAGCCCTAATTAGGGTTTTGCCTAATTAGGGTTTCCCCTAATCAGGGTACTCCCAATTAGGGTTTTAGGATCTTGCGCGCGCTCGCACGCTTACCACAAACCCCGTATCAACGTACAAAATTTTTCGCTAGATTCTACAAGGTTTATAGAAAAATCATATCTGACTACTTTTTTTTTGTTTCTTTCCCTTTTAATTTCAATAAAATCATAAAGAAATTTAAATTTCCGCTTTATTTTCTTTTCTTTTTCTTATCTGGTGGAGCTCGCCGTTTCTACAAATGACGCCCGTTTTCCCCGACTAAAGTCTCAAAATGTTGAAAAAAACATATTGGACAACTTTGGTCCAAGGGGTTTTCCCCAGATTTCGCTCATATTTTTCGTAATAAATAAAAAAATAAAACGGGGAATTTCGAATTAGTAATTAAAAAAAAAAAAAAATCCCAAAAATTCAGCCATTAAAATTTACCGAAAAGGGTCTCAAAATGTTCGTCTCTTCGAGGAGACGAACTTTGACCCCGATGCGGTTCGTGGCACTTGTACAAAAACGCACGGATCAGAAGATATTTCAAAAAAACTAAATAAAAAATTATCAAAAATAAAAACTAATCAAGAAAACAAGCTAACTAGTGTTTGACTAATCAGCCCGTGCACCCCCGTTGGTTGGGGAAGGCCGCGGTCTCACAATCTCTTCGGTTGAACTCTCGTGTTGCTGCTAGGAATCCGTTGACTTTCTGCTCATCTGTGGGGCTAGGCGGCACGAGGCAACCGGCCGGGTAAACCGGCAGGTTCATCCGGCCGGTTTACCCGGCAGAAACTTTATCCGGAAATCCGGATAAAAGATTTTTAGGGGCTGGAAATATTTTTTTTTTTGGGGGGGGGGCTTGAGGTGATTGCGCATCATGTCCCCTCCCTCTACAAATTTAGAAAACCCAATTCTAAGCACTTTGAACTTTTTCCTGCATTGGGCCTGCAGGCCCTGCAATGGCAGCAATGGTGTAGCAGCTGTACTTAGCATGCTCAGTATTGCTAACTGCACGAGGTTCTCAACTTCACACTGTACTGCGGGCTCTGCAACTGCCAATTCCAGTGACTACACTGATTGAAGTCCATACAACTATGTTGCAGGTTTACTAAAACACCATGTTTCTTATAAGATGAAGTAAGAATGGGAGACGAGGAAGTCCCAAGAAATTGCAAGAATAGCTCGAAACACCACGTGGAAGTTGGTGGGACTCGAAAAACAACAGGTTCCTGAATCTGCGATTTAAAGTCGAATTCACAGGTTAATAGTAATACACATTGATTGAATAAGTGATTGAAATATGATTGATGGATTGACGCCACGGTGTTGATTGATTGCATGATTGAATGATTAATCGAGTGATGGATTGATGGATTGATGGATTGATGGATTGATGGATTAATGGGTTGATTGGACTTGATTTATTGTTTGGTTGATTAAGGTATGATAGATTCATTGTTTGATCATCAACTTTGACGAAGTTTGATGTCACTGGTTGATTGATTGTTTGGTTCATTGATTCCTTGATTGATTGATTGTCTGATTGATCGAATGATTGAATGATTGATTGATTGATTAATTGATTGATTGATTGGTTCATTGAAAAGAAGGTGGCCGGGCAAGGAAGAACGTGAATAGGAATGGGATGAGGACGACACAGACAACGAGCAAGAGGAGAGAAGAGGAGGCAGAGGGGTTATTGGAGGAGGAGGACGAAGAATAGAAGGTGAAGGCAGTGCCATCCATGGAGGCAGAGGTGGTGATAAAGGGGGATCAGCGGCGATGGACAAGGCGGAGGCGATGAAGGGGGAGGCCGCGACAACGGAGGGGGAGGCGGCGGCGATGAAGCGGGAGAACACGATAATGGAGGTGGAGGCGGACGCGAAGGTAGAGATGGGGAAGGGGAAGAAGGGCGACGAGGAGAAAGAAGAGAAGAACTCGGAGGAGGAAGATGAGAGAGGATGGGAAGGACGAGGAGAAAAAGGACGGGAATAAGAGAAGACGAAAAAGTAGACGAGGAGGACGATGAGCGCGATGAGGAAGAAGAAAAGGAGCTAGAAGGTGGAGCACGACGAACCCCAAGTTTCCCTCCAACCTTTTCCCTCTCGCACTATCTTTCCCCCCAACCATCTCGCCGACCCCTTTACCCCCTTTCCCCCCCCCCCAAAAAAAAAAATACCCCGCATCTCCCTATCTCCCCGAATCGATCAATCAATCAATCAATCAATCAATCAATCAATCAATCAATCAATCAATCAATCAATCAATCAATCAATCAACCAATCAATCAATTAATCAATCAATCAATCAATCGATCGATCGATCGATCAATCCAACCAATCAATCAATCAATCAATCAATCCAACGATCAAATCTTGATCGTTGGATTGATTGATTGATTGATTGATTGGTGGGATTGATCGATCGATCAATCGATCGATCGATTGATTGATTGATTGATTGATTGATTGATTGATTGATTGATTGATTGATTGATTGATTGATTGATTGATTGATTGATTGGTTGGATTGATCGATCTATCGATCGATTGATTGATTGATTGATCGATTGATTGATTCGGTAAGTGATTGGAAAAAAAAAAAAAAAAAAATGGTCGGGCAAGGAGGAACATGAATAGGGATGAGGACGACTCAGAAAACGAGGAGCAGGAGGAGGAGAAGAGGAGGCGATGACCGATAACGAGGAGGAGGACGAAGAAGAGAAGGGGAAGGCGGTGGCGTCCATGGAGGCAGATAAGGTGATGAAGGGGGAGGCGACGGCAATGGACAAGGCAGAGGCAATGAACGGGGAGGCCCCGGCGATGGAGGGGAAGGCCGCGACAATGGAGTCGGCGGCAATGAAGGGGGAGGCGGACACGAAGGCAGAGACGGGGAAGGGGAAGAAGGGCGACGAGAAGGAAGAAGACAAGAACTCGGAGGAGGGGAAGGACGAGAAGAAAAAGGACAGGAAGAAGAGCAAACGAAGAAGTAGACGAGGAGGACGAGGAGCACGACGAGGAAGAAGAATAAAAGGAGTTAGAAGAGAAGAAGGTGGAGCACGACGAGCCCCAAATTGCCCCCTAACCTTTTCTTTTTTTCCCCCATCTTTCCCCCCTACAATCTCACCGACCCCCTTACCCCCTTTCTCGCCCCCCAATCTCGCCGAATCAATCAATCAATCAATCAATCAATCAATCAATCAATCAATCAATCAATCAATCAATCAATCAATCAATCAATCAATCAATTAATTAATCAATCGATCGATCGATAGATCGATCCATCCAACCAATCAATCAATCAATCAATCAATCCAGCGATCAAGATCAAGAATCTTGATCACTGGGTTGATTGATTGATTGATTGTTGATGGATCCATCTATCGATCAATTGATTGATTGATTGATTGATTGATTGATTGATTGATTGATCGAGTAAGTGATTGAAAAAAAAAAAAAAAAAAAAAAAAAAGGTGGTCGGGCAAGGAGGAATATGAATAGGAATGGGATGAGGACAACTCAGAAAACGAGGAGCAGGAGGAGGAGAGGAGGAGGCGGTGGTCGATAAGGAGGACGAGGACAAAGAAGACAAGGGGAAGGCGGTGGCGTCCATAGAGGCAGATGTGGTGATGAAGGGGGAAGCCGGTGGCGATGGACAAGGCGGAGTCGATGAAGGGGGAGGCCCCGACGATGGAGGGGGAGGCCGCGAGTCACGACGATGGAGGGGCAGGCCGCGACGATGGAGGGGGAGGCAAACGCGAAGGAAGAGATTAGGAAGGGGAAGATGGGCGACGAGGAGGAAAAAGACAGGAGCTCGGAAGAGGGGAAGGAGGAGGAGAAAAAGGACGGGAAGAAAAGAAGACGAAGAAGTTGACGAGGAGGACGAGAAGCATGACGAGCCCCAAGTTCGCCCCCAACCTTTTTCCCTTTCCCCCCAACCTTTTCCGCTTTCCCCCCATCTTTCCCCCCAACCATCAATCAATCAATCAATCAATCAATCAATCAATCAATCAATCAATCAATCAATCAATCAATCGAGAGATCGATCAATCCAACCAATCAATCAATCAATCAATCAATCAATCCAGCGATCAAAATTTTTGATCTTGATCGCTCGATTGATTGATTGATTGATTGGTTGGATTGATCGATCTCTCGATTGATTGATTGATTGATTGATTGATTGATTGGGTAACAGATTGAAAAAAAAAAAAAAAAAAAAAAAAAAAAAAAAAAAAAAAAAAAGGTAGTCGGGGAAGGAGGAACATGAATAGGAAATGGAGAGGAGGAGCAGGACGAGGAGAGAAGCGGAAGGCGGTGGTGTCCATGGAGGCAGCGATGAAGGAGGAGGTGGCTGGGACAATGCAGGTGGCCCAATGGAGCCAGACTCAGCGTCGTCAGCGATGGAGGGGTATGCTGCGGCGAAGGCCGACACGATGAAGGAGGAGGAGCAGGAAGAAAAGGAGGACGAGAAAGGGGAGGAAAAGGGGGGGGAGGAGGACGAGGTGAACGAGGAGATGGACGAGGAAAAGGAGGAGGTAGAAGAGAGGGACGAAGAAAAAGATAAGGAGGACGACGAAGGAGAAGAGGGGGAGGATGATGACGAAGAAGAGGTGGACGCGGAGGATGACAAAAGGAAAAATGCGAGGAGGAGGACAACGACGACAAGGTGTATAAGGGTCTCTCTCTCTCTCTCTCTCTCTCTCTCTCTCTCTCTCTTTGTGTGTGTCTCTCTCTCTATGTGGACAGCGACTCTCTATCTCCCTCTCTCTCTCACACACAGAGCTAGTGGAGCAGTACACAAGTAGACGAAGACTCGGAAGAAGAAGAAGACTCGGAAGAAGAAGAAGAAGAAGAAGAAGAAGAGGAAAAAGAAGAACTTACCAGGAGGCGGCGATGCACATGCGTCTGAAGCGTTGTAGAGGTCATGGCATGACGGCCGTGGAGGCGGCGATGCACGCACGCACAAGCAGCATGACGACGATGCTGGCTGGCACGGCCACAGGCGGCAACGGGAGGGGTGTCAGGGCGGGGACCGTCGTCTCGCGGGCGCGCCGGGTGGTCTCCAGAGTCCAGACCCCGCACATTTCGAATTCAAAACGAGGCCCGATCTGCGCCATTGATCATCAATGATTGATGGTCCAGATCGGGCCTGTTTCCTTTTGAATTCTGTAGGGCCTACTCCAGTTCAGGTTTCGGGAATGGGGTCTCACGGTCGATCAAAACCCCCTACCGGAGCCTGATTTCCAAAAAAAGGTCCGCGCATATTTTGCGCAGGGCCCTGATTTTTTAATATCCGGTTTAATCCGGCCCTGTTTACCCGGCCGGGTGAACCGGATTAACCAGGGTTTGCCGGATATCTGGATGTGTCGCCCAGCTGTGGGGTTCTCTTCGTTCAGCTTGGTTCGCATTCTGAAACTTTGCGTTGACTCTCACATCGATAGGGTAACGGTTGTTTGTAGGGGAGGTGCACTTTTGTCTGACCATTGGAAAGTCCTGAAGCGCAGCAATTCAGCCAATGCCTACAAGAGGGTGCTTCTCTCCCAACCCGTGCAATCCCCACCCCGGCAACGGCGCCAAAGTTGTGAGGAAACCCGGGAAGGGCTCACCTGCAGTTCGCCGAAGCCATGGGCAACAACGCCCGTCACTCGTTGCGCACGCTTCCGAGGTCCTCGACGATCAGCAGGGAGCTTTTGACGCGTGACCTGTCACGCTGTCCCCTTCGCGAAAATTTAATTAGTTATTTTGTTCAGGTGGAATAATGATATTTCTTATGAAGAGTCAAACATTTGTTCAGATTAATTGTCAACAAGTTGTTCCCTTACCTGTGGTTCTGCTGTTCGAGGGTGGTTCGCGAGGCTGAAGACAAAGAGACACAACTTTAACCATCTCAAACAGACGTCATTTCAACCATCAGCATTACCCAAAAGAAAAATGGAAACACACCCTAATTAAGGATCACTCGTTTCTGTTACTCCACTCAGTCAATAACTCGTCCCGGATCAAAAATCGATTAGATTCGTCAAGTCACACAGAGAACGGAGTTGAGTCACCTTGCCCGCCCCAATCATCGTGGGCCTGACAGGAAGCAACTGGGGATAGGTGAGCAGTCAATGAACGGAACAACCTTCCCTCTCCAGAATCACTAACGAGTGCATTCGTTAATCGTAATAGTCCACGCATGAACGACACAGCGGCAATCGCCCTTCCCCAAGTTGGCTTGTCCATCTGCTGCTGCAGCATTCTCCAATGTCGTTAAACAGTAGCAAGGGATGACCCGCATGCGAGTTTACTAGCTCGTCGGCCACTACAGGCATTTTCACATTTCAATAAATTTGTACAGACATTATTTCATATGCATATTGTCATACATAATAGACTAATTAAGCAAAAGAGAATTTTGCCTATTAGGCGTTTGCTTCGCTCAACCAATCTCTGCCTCTTCTTAGCCCCTCACTCTCTTTTGTCTTTCTCTTTCTTTCTCTCTCAATCTCTCTTCTTCACTCTCACTCGCTTGCCTCTTCCCCAACTGCTCTCCTTGTCACAAGCACAAGCTTTGCTGATTCCTGTCACTCGTCTCCCAACCTGGCCTTTTGCATGAGGGCTGGGGACACCGTGCGCGCTCCTTCTACTGCTCCCGAATCGGACTACTCTGACACTGCGTGCCCGTATACACTCACTCCTACATTCTCTCGTCGTCCCCTGAACCGAGTCTTTGGACCCAGTTTCATGTCCAAAATTCGTCGCTGCCCAAGCGCTCTCTGCACAACTAGGTTGCGGGCACCGGGCTCACTGTCTATCCTCCCTCCACCTACTCACCGCGCTGCCCCTTACAACCGCTCGTGCCACCCAGCCAACCTCTCTCTCACTCGCTTTGCTCAGTCGTCCTCCGCATCAACGTGATTCCAGACACCTTTTGTGGGGACTGGGTACGTCTGGCACGCCAACTCAGTCCCCTCTACTTTGTCGTCCTCCGTCCTATACCGACAACCCGAAACAATTTCGCCCCGAGCTGAGCTGGCCTGCATGGGGTGTTCTCAGCCACATTTCCCTTCACACTCGCCAACCGGGACATCTCCCGCGCTCCGGGTGGTCAGAGCACACCTAACACGCCACCCTAGTGACCCTCCTTGAATCGAGCTTTGCCTGCATGCGCCAGGCGCATCTCCTCTCACCGTCGTTTGTCCGACCATGTGATCCCTGAGCGTACCAGAATGGAAGAAGTAGGCGGAGTACACCTAGCACACTGTATGTCTCCAGTCGAATACATGTGAGAGTCAGAGTGAGCCCTCAGTTAGCGTAATCTCAGTCAATGATAGTATGGCGGCCACACCTCACGCACCCCTCCCCCTGACAACAACCCCATCTCCAGCTCGTCGTAGTCTGTCCGCTTACGCCTGTACAAACTCGCACTTTCCCAGCGCGTTGACCCTGTCTGCATCGGGTTGCGATGTGGGTTGGGTAGACCGTGCATACTGCCCCCTCCTGCTTCACCCCGCTTCTCTTTATTCCCCCGGTACCAGCTTCTACAGCTGAGGTCGTCGGTATCAACCGCGGCCCAGATTCAAAATCGGTAACAAGTGGGACCGGTCCTCGAGTCATGGACCCCAAGTAGTGTGAACCCCAAGGCCTTAGGGTTCAGTGGTCATGTCGTAGTGGCGCTAGTACTCAGTTATTCTGGTCCCGGATCAGGTATTCTTGTCTTATTTGAGGGCTCCAATGTTTGCTGCCCCGTACCGCTATTACGCCCATGCCGATCCAATAATAATTAACAAGATCTGCAGCACCCATGTCGCACCCATACGGAACAACATCGAAACCGAAGCGCTCGTCTCAAACTGCAATAGCCTGAACCATATCGTACCAATCATTTGGAGCCGTAACTCACACCGATGTCGAACCGTACCTGATGACGGACAAAAACCGAACAAGAGACAACCGTACCATGCCAATGTCGTGCCCATACCGAACCGGAAACATGTCGATGTCGAGCCAAACCCGAACCTGAAAATAACGCAGTGGCGTGCACCATCTCGATGCCAAACCAATACTGTGCCTGAAATATGTCGGACACCGTAGAATGTCGCAACCCCGTAATAGTACCGAGCCCCCCCGAACCATGTGTCCGAACCGAAGCGGCAACCACACCGACGCAATGGAGCCGAGCGGCACAATCAAGTAACATGGCGGTAACACCACGCCGTCCATCCACCCCGCACTCATAACACACAGGTTGCGGCGAGGCTAGGAATCAGGGAAATCAAGTAGGTCATGCAGGCAATCTCAATCGTCGGGAAATAGAGAGAATCGTTAGAAACAGAATAAATAAATAATCCGGGGTTGGATCCGATCTCGAATAATTCGAGCAAATATTAGCCAATCATTTAATAATCGTGGGTTTTCTTCCCTTTTATCATTTTTAATTATTTTTTTTATTTCTTAAATCTATTATAAGAATTAATAAAAATAAAGGTAATTTTTTATCATAAATAAATTCCGATGGAATTCAATTAAATAACGAAAATTCTCATGTTTTTTTTTCCTTTCATAGTTTTGTTTCTTTTTCTTATTTTTGATTCTATTATCGAAAATAACAAATAATGAGGGCGATTCCTTTAAAATTAAATACCAAGGAAATTTAATGAAATAAATAATATCCTGTTTTTCTCATCCTTTTCACTTTTTTTTAATTATTTTTCTCGTTTTTAATTTTAATATTAAAATTAAGGATACCGGAGGATTTCATTCTCGCGCTAGTTGCGCAGAGTAAAAGAACCACGCCAAGGCCTATTCTCAAATTTTCGTACCGCGGCCAGTTGTTTCAAAAACAGACTCGGAGCGGGCGAAAATAAGGTAGGCATCGGCTCGGTGGAAGAGGTAGTCCCTCTCACCATTTTTTTGGGTTAGTCCCAGCGGTTGTCACATCCAATCTTAGGGGTGCTCTGGGTACCCCTAATTTCCCCCAACAGTTCGGACGAAAGTCCCGGTTTAGGCAATTGTTCCGAGGGGCAATCTGCTGCAATTAGGGTGGCCGACGGCCCTTCGGTCGGTTGACACTGCTGCCGCCACTGCCATGTTCGCCATAGATGTTAGCACAACATGTCCGTCTGCCCCACGACCCTCCATTGTCGACGAACTTCGGAAAGACACCGTCACCCTGCCCCCTCGCTGTGCACGTGCGTTCTCAGCGCCCACGTTAATGCACCACGTCGGCCACACTCTACACGTCTTCAAGGCGACCACAAAGGATGATGACACAAGGCAGGACTTCGACCACTGAAGCTTGCGTTCCAAGGTGCCATGCATCGTCAACAAAGGAGTCGAGCTCACAGTGAAACACTACACATTGTTCGTCAATGTCATCACTGGAAGGGAGGACCACACTCGCTCGTAGATTGAAAGGCAAGGAAAAAGGGTTATCCGCTACCCCACCGCTGCGCTGGGATATCATGTGCGCTGCCAAACCGCCGTCACTCAAATTTTGAGTTTCAGATTGGGACATTCACGCCTTTCTATTTCTTTTTTTTTCGCGGCCGCCACTTATTTCCGCCTTTCGCCTGTGGACCAACATGCCTCCTGACTAGACGTCCCAAACAAGATCACGTACATACCTTTCGTGGCCTCGTATAGTACGTATACTCGTATAAAACTAGTCGCACAAAGGCCCTAAGGATTCATCATAGGAACCATTCCCTGAGGACAGGTCAAACGACGCCTACAAAAGACCAATCCTCGGGGCCTGAGGACGCCCTGAGGAGTGTTTAACGACGTACATGTGCCAAGGAACAAATGCCCCGTATTGATTGCCGCCCCCTGCAGGCTCGGCAAAACGTGGCGCGCATGACATTTTAAGGCTTGGCTTCAGTAGTTGGGCGAAGTACTGGTGATTTAAACCACCAGTAAACCACCAGTACCTCAAGGAGAGAAGGTTAACAACAGTCGTATTTTTCATCACCACTTTAGGACACCCTTCACCACTTCATGATGCAGTCGGCCTAAACAGGTGGTTTTCAGGGTGTTCGGACCTTTCACCACTTCGGGATGCAGCCTGACTAAACAGATGGTTTTCAGGATCTTCGGAGCTTTCACCACTTCAGGATTATTCAAAATCCTAAATGGTCCTGAAGTGGTGAAAGCTCCGAAGATCCTGAAAACCATCTGTTTAGGCAGGCTGCATCCTGAAGTGGTGAAGGGTGGTTTTCATGGTCTTCGGACCTTTCACCACTTCTGGACCATTCAGGATTTTCAAACTGCCAAAAACTCTCACTTGACCACTTCAGGACACCCTTCACCACTTCAAGATGCAGCCTGCCTAAACAGGTGGTTTTCAGGGTCTGCGGACCTTTCACCACTTCAGTACCATTCAGGATTTTCAGACTGCCAAAAACCCTCACTTCAAAATTTTCATTCCTGAATTTTCAGCTACCAGATAACCGCTTCAGACCTGATTTCCACCTACAAGTACCGGCCTCCAAGGGGGGTTCTTCCTCCACTTCCTCTTTTTCTTCTACCACCTTTAACTTTTTTTTTTCTTCTCTTTGCAACTTCTTCATCTCCTCCCGAAACTTCTTTTTCTTCGTCGTCTGCTCCTCTAGTAAGGCCAACTTCTTAGCCTGCTTGATCAAGTCTTGCTTGGCCTCCTCTGTTCTCTCTTTTAATACGGCGGTGGCTTGCTCTTCTTGAGCCTTGGTGTATGGGGTGGTACTCTTACTGCTACGCGTGTCCACCATGGTGAAAGATGCACAACTTAGTGACAGTTTCACTCCTCACCACTTAGACCTCCACCCACTGACTGACTAAATAAATAAATGACTCTCTAAGGACCACATAGTCCTCCCCTTTGCTCCAACCAGGTTACCACAGCCGACGGAAGCTTTCGCCACCACTGTCCTTTCCAAACCTCGACTCAGATGCCCTGCACCTGTGGTCAACCACTTGGCTTTCACTCCGGTTCAGAACCCTATCAACTAGGGTCTGTCTCTAAGCCTGGATCTATAGCTATGGCTGTCACTACAAAACTTCAATGTCGGTCAGGAGGCATTTAAGGAGATACCCCATAACTCCTCAGGAATTCTTTAACGTCGCAAACAGGACGACGTGATCAGTAAGTCCTCTGAAGACTTAGACAGCTGGTTGTGCAGCCCACAACTCAGATTTTGGGCCTACCATGCCACACTGAGCAGTCCGCTGGCCTGTACCGGTCCTTGGGAGGGTGTGTCCTCCGGGTCAATCAATCGTCATACATGGACTTAAGCCCTACTCAGCCCGTGTGGGTTTGGTCAACACAGCTCTACGACCTCATGCACGGAGTTCCTATCACTTGAACAAAAGAGACTCCATGCGGAAAG